TGTACAACTATTCACTTATTTACCCAAATAATTTTAATTACATGCCAGTCAGTACCAGGAACTACTGGAAATGCTGGGTAACAGCATTCTCTGGTGAACAAGTTAAAAAAAAAAATCCTCTAAGAGTGACAGGCTATTAAAACAGAGGGTAAGGGTTCCAGAATAAAGGATGCTATTTAAATGGTCAGGGCAGACATCTAAACACAGACCACACTGACATGAAGAACGAGGCATAGAAGAGGTCTGGACAATGCTATTCCAAGCAGCAGAGACAATGATTAAGTAGCCCCTGAAGCAATAAGAAGCTTGTTAAAACACAAGCAGGTCAGAGGGGCCAAAGGAAAGCAAGGGGACTAGAGAGACGGCACAGTGGTTAAGAGCGCTTGTTGCTCTTGCAGAGGACCCGGGTTTGAGTCCCAGCACCACACAGTAGGTCCAGTTCCAGGGGCTCCAATGCCCTCTTCTGACTCTCCCAGGCACCAGGTACACTTACTGTGTACATACATCCATGGTGGCAAAACATTCACACACATAAAATAAATCTAAACAATATTTTTAAAATTTTCTTTTTGGTTTTTTGAGACAGGGTTTCTCTGTGTAGTTTAGGTGCCTGTCCTGGATCTCACTCTGTAGACTAGGCTGGCCTCGAACTCAGAGATCCGCCTGCCTCTGCCTCCTGAGTGCTGGGATTAAAGGCGTGTGCCTACACTGCCCGGACAGGAAACTCTTTTAACCTGTTATTAGGAAGCTTTTTTTTTTTTTTTTTTTGAGTTAAGGACCAAAGGGGAACCGTAGCGCCCCACCACTGAGGTGACCTCTAACCCTGGTAAACCAATGAAGAACTGAATGGACACTTGTTCTACTTCTGCCAATGTCTATTCACACAGCCCTCATCCATTTCTTAATGATGCAGAACTCCTTTTTTTCCCCCAAGACAGGGTTTCACCGTAGGTAGCCTTGGCTGGCCTGGAACTCACAGAGATCCTCCCCCTTCTGTCTCTAGAGTGCTGGAATCAAAGGCGTGCACCACCATGTCTGCCCCTAACTCCTCTGTGTGTTAACAAATCCAGTTGAGGCTGGAGAAATGGCTCAGCAGTCCATCAGAGGACCGGAACTCAGACCCCAGCACCCACACTAGGTGGCTCACGGGCCTATGTATCTCCAGCTACACTCTGACCTCCACAAACTGCCCGGGACCCACAGCCAAGCATATGTGCCTCTTAAAATTATTTTTAAAAATTTTATCTGTATTAGTGTTTTGCCCGCACACCGAGTACACACAGGGCCCAGAGAGGCTAGAAGGCATCGGACCCCTGTAACTGAGTTACAGATGGAGGTGAGCCACTACTGGGGGCCTCTCAACGAGCAATAAGTGCTCCTAACTGCTGAAGACATTTTTTCACCTAGCCTAATTTTTTTAATTTTGAAAAAAACCTAACCAAACCAGGTATGGTGGTGCAAACCTATACTCTCAGCACTCAGAAAACTAAGGCAGAAGAGTCACCATTTCCAGGGCAGCCTGGACTCAATAGGGAGATTCTGTTTCTTTTTTCTTTTTTGGTTTGTTTTCGAGATGGGGTTTCTCTGCATAGCTTTGTGCCTTTCCTGGATCTCGCTCTGTAGACCAGGCTGGCCTTGAACTCACAGATATCCGCCTGCCTCTGCCTCCCGAGTGCTGGGATTAAAGGCGTGTGCCACCACCGCTCGGCGAGATTCTGTTTCAAAACACCAAGAGCTGGGGATACTGGAGCTAAATGGTCAGAGCACTTGCCTACCATGCACAAGACAGATTGACTCTGAGCTCCAGTAAAAACTGAAAAATCAAACCCTGTCCATCAAATTTCAAATTGTTTCCCAGTTTATTTATTTACTTTAAGATTTATTTATTTACTATGTATAGAGTGTTCTGTGTGCATGTATACCTGCATGCCAGAAGAGAGCACCAGATCTCATTACAGATGGTTGTGAGTCACCATGTGGTTGCTGGGAATTGAACTCAGGACCTCTGGGAGAGCAGGCAGTGCTCTTAACTCCTGAGCCATCATCTCCCCGGCCCCCAGTTTATTTATTTATTTTTTTACAGAGTGGCTCATAATCTGCCTTACTCTTTCATGTACAACACTCAGCTTATTATCAGCTTACCATAAAATTTACCTTTATTTAACTTACTAATGTAAGTGTTCCTACTCTGGTAGCAGCTCCCCTAAAAGCCTATGTTTTTTGGTGTGTTATTACTTTGTTTAAATATTTATCTGGAATTCATTCCGTGGTCTGGGTGTTCTGAAAATCAATGCAGGTTTTTCTAGTTTTTGTGAGTTCTGCCATAGTTGAACTCTCTCCAACAGAACTGTCTCAGTCCAGAAACACAGCCATTTAATTCCATTCTCTCCTGTTAGTTCAGCAGGAAGAAGTCCCCAAAAGCTATCCCCTAAGAGTACCCCTCTATGGTCACTGCTGTCTATCTTCACCCACTTCCCATCAGCTCTTCACAGATCTACCATACATGCCTACCATTCTGTTTATAGTTATCCAATGGTTACTGAAATAGAATTCTCACTCTAGCAGGGTTTACAATATTCCAAGCTTCTTCAGCATACTTTGTAACACTAACCCCTCACCCACTAACCCCTGCCCCAACATTGGCTTTTCCATCTCTAGGATACAAGTTTATTTCTCCCTCAGTTCCGTAACACTCGTTTCCTCTACCTGAAAATAAACCCTTCCTTCACAATCTATGGCTTCAAGGACTGATACTCTTCATTTCTCAGGTCATGTCACTTCTTCTGACAGGGGGCAAACCCCGACATCATTCAATTTCAGTGACTTTTTACAGAATTTCCTTGTTTCAACTGTATTCTGGGCACTTAATTATTTTTGCTCTTTCTTTTTATTCTTGTGTCTTCCCTGCTGTTTTCCCACAGAAAATGTTCTGGACGATGGGGCCCTGGTTACATTGTTCAGCTGTGTGTCCCTAGGGCCGAGGGACTGTCACATACCAGAGGGGTTCAACATTTGTGGAAGGAGAAGAAAAAAAACAACTTGAGACTCCACTTCCTATCCAAACTTTCAACGATCCGAATCTGGACAACTCCAAAGTACGGAATCATCTTCTCTGCCCAGCCAAGCACCCATCTCAGGCAGAGCAAGCCCTAAGCCTGCTTCGATCCCGGCGTAATTTTGGGAGCCTGAAGACTGGGCCCCGCACGACACCAGCGTCGTCGGCCCATCCTCCCTGAGGATCCCCCGAGGCACGGGAAGGAGAAGGGCAGAGCAGCTTACCAACTCATCCGGACTCAGGACTCCGAACTGCACTCTCTTGATGGTGCGCAGCGGGCATGCGCTGTCCCCGGAGGGGGGGCCGCCCCCGTGCATGGCGAGGTAGGCGCGCTGCGCAGGCGCAAATCTCGCTACAAAAAGCCTGCGCCACCGCCGCCTAAGTGCTCAGACCTCGTCCGGGCGGCCACCGGGAAAGATCTCCCGGAGAAGAGAGGGAAAAGGCCGGAGGGGGAGGGGGAAGGTGGGGGAGGGGAGGAGGCGGGGAAGCCAAGAGGGCGGAAAGGAAGCCTCTTCTCCCTTTCCGGAGATTTTTTTTTTCGGCTGCCCCAAAAGGAAACAAAAGAAGGGAGGAAAGGAGGAGGTTTTGGGAGGGAGGAAGAAGAAAAGGGGTAACGAATAAATAAGTAACCGGGATCCTGAACGGCGGAGGTTACGGCAGTTTGTCTCTCCCCCTCCCGGGAGCCACCTTCTTCTCCAACCGTCCCGGCCGCGCTCTCGGCGCTTCTGAGGAGAGGACCGGCTGAACGACGCCTTTTATAGACTCGCCCTTGCGCCCCGCCCCTTCCTTTCCCGCCCTCCCTTGCGCTACGGGGCCGCCCGCGCCGGGCCGCACGGAGCGCGCGGGCCGGAGGCGTCGACCTCGGGCCCCGGCTGGCGGGTTGGGTGTTCTTCTGACGTGACAAGAGGAGGAGAATCTTCCTGATCCCGCCGCCTGCCCCCGCCGGCTCCCCGGGCGCTCCGGCTTACGGCTTGCAGGGTCGAGGGTAAAGTTAGGGCGCCTCTGCTCGGCGGAGCGGCACCGGCTCGCTTCCAGCCGCGGTGTCTCCCCGATACCGCTCCCCCCCGCACCCCCGGAAAGTGGTCTGTTCTACGCATCGGCCATGGGGGCGGGGCCCGGCGGGCCCTCCCGAGTGTGTTCCGGAGAGGGCGGGAGCGGCGGGCCGGCCCGCGCTCATGAATATTCAGTGTCCTCGCTGAGGATGCAGCAGGCGGACAAGATGGCGCGTCCGAGCGGGTGGAAGTGGGTGCCGGTCGAGAGGCCTCGCAGGATGGTGGGACGCCTCCTCGCCTCGAATCGAGAGCCACGCGGAGCCCCCTGGCCTTGGATCTCCGGCTCTTCGGAAAGCTGTCCTGGAGGAAGGGTGGCTGCCACCCGAGAGCCGCGGATCACGCGACCGCGACGATCCGAGAAAAGCAGATTAGTGGTGGGGCGGACCACGAAAGTCCCGGGGACTGTGAGGTCAAGGAATGTGAACTTTTAGGAAACCCTCCACCTTTCAGAAATAAGGGGGGCGCGGCTGCGTGTCTCAAGGGAGTCTCCAACAAGAGCGTGTCTCCAACTCTCGCCAAAGCGAAGGCGACGCCGGCTGCGCCGCCTTAGTGATCCATGTTTGATGTCAGTGTTACGTCACCACCCGGACAGGGAGCCCTAGGGAAAAGGAACACTCCCCTCCCCCAGTGCAGTAGCTGTTTGCCTGACAACCTGCATACTTCATCCCTGATGCTCGTCTCCTTCCTGTCTGTGGGATTATCCTCCACGGCCCACTACCAGACGTCCTCAGTCCCCTGGATCTGAGACCTCACAGCTTAATTATGCCATTATCCCCTGGCCCAGCCTAAATCTCATGCCCTGGCTTCACTCCTATTCTTGCTTCAGGTCTTCCCTCTCCATCAAGTCCCAAGTCACCCTTGAATCCCAGGGCATCCTTCCTTTTGTTTGTTTTTACATTTTTTATTCTGTGTGTGTGTGAGCAGACCGCAGCGCACATGGAGAAAGGATAATTTGTGGACGTCTGTTCTCTTCCCCTCCCATGTGAGATGGAACTCAGGTTGTCAGGCTTCGTGGCACCAGCCTTTACCTGCTGAGCCATCTCACTGGCCCTCCACACCAGTCCTTTTTGAGGCATTTGTGCTTCCATAGTTTTTATTCCAGTCTCTCCTCCCATTACCCCTGCCCCCCCCTCCCCCGGGCTCTCCAGTTGGATTTCACTCCTCCATTTGCCCTTCCTTCTCACAGCTGAGGTTCTGGGCGGTGATGACGGCGATGCTGCCCAGCACAACCCCTGCCCCCATGATGTCAGAAGGTGCCACAGCCTCATAGAGCACGTAATACTGCAGCATCAGCGCCACCACCACCTCGGAGTGCAGGACAGCGCATACCAGGGCAGGGTGGGCCTTGGTGACCGCGTAGCTCACACACACAAAAGAAACCAGCGCAAGGAGCCCCACGGACACCACACAGCTCCAGCTCAGGGGGTCTTGAGGTAGCACAGGTGTCTGCAGCACAAAGAGGCCTGGTAGAGAGACCGTCAGCCCCACCAGGCCGAAGAGGAAGGCCACTGTTGGTAAGCAGGAGGGGAAGTGTAGAGAGCGATAAACCTGTAGCCCCAGTGACAGTGCCAGACCTCCCAGGAAAGCCAGTACGTAGCCCAGGGCTGTGTAGAGGCCTGTAGTCCCCTCTTGCAATGTCCCCAGTCCGGGTCCCACAATGATGATCAGTCCGAGGGTGCTGCCAAACAGGCCGCACCAGGCGTAGCCACTGAGACCCTGGCTCTCCAGGCAGAGTGCCAGGAGGGCCGAGCACACGGTGGAAGAACCTTTGCGAACAGTGACCGCGTTGCCTGCAGGCACCACCTGGACCGCACTGTAGGCACATCCAATGCTGAGGACGTTGAGCATGGCGTGAAGGAAGGCCCGAACCCGAACGTCACGAGGTCCCAGCAGCGGGTCGCCACGAAACTTAAGTAACAAGGCAATGGGGAGGTGGAAGATGCATCGGAAGATGAGCAACTCCAGCGAGGGCAAATGGGAGGTCTGGTAAGCCATACGGGAGAACGGGCCCACGAAGCCGGCAGACAGTCCTCCACCCAGCAGGGCCACAAACAGACCCTTGGTGGCATCGGAGGGCCCGCAGCGATGGTTCGAGGGGAGGCTGGCTGGAGTGGAGGGCGGTGATGGCTGGGTGAAGTCAGGTAAGTTGGAATAGGGATAACCGGCATCCTGTTAGGAAGAGAGGAGCTTGGACAGGAGGGCAACCACAGCCTGGGCAACTTGGGGTAGGGTGAGCGCCAGGTTGAGATCTTGGACCCTTCAGGATAGTAGAGGAGCTCATAGGACCTAGAAAGGGCCTGAAGATGGATGAGGTGGTACAATGCCATCTTTGAGCATCTAAAGCAGGAGGCAGGGATGAATAGTCCTGGACCATGTTTCTCCCGATCATGTTCCCGGGAGGAAAAAAAAAGAGAGGACCCAAGGTCCTCTGTTCATGGGAGGAAAGGGAGTTAGCTTCAAATGCTTATGTATCCATATGATGTCACAAGCTCCAGGGGCTTCTGGGTACCTCACTGAGTTTCACTTGTAGGTGTCTCCAGGACCACTGGGAAGCTTAGAGGAGGAGGGAAAGGAATATCCAGATGCTGAATGTTGCCCCCACCATTCTCCTTTGCCCAGGACTCACCAACTCTTCTTGGACTTCCTCCTCTCCTCCTGGGTCCGGTTGCCTGATCCCCCTCAGAGCTTCAGCCATTGTGACTTGGTTAGAGTAGGGTAAGGTTCTTCCATGGAACCTTCTCTTCCTGGGCGGGGATTATTTTCTCATAAATTCCAACTCTGGCCTGTTGTTTATTTGGGGGGTTGGTTTTTTGTTTTTTTGGTTTGGAGTAAGTTTTGGGGGTGAGGGGAAAGAGACAGGCTCTTTCTATAGGCCAGGTTATTCTGGAATTCACTGTGTTGTCCAGGCAGATTATAGGTGCGTACCACCATTCCAGGCTTGTTTTCTGTCTTTGTTGCTATGACTCCAAGTTCGTTCACTCTCTCTCTCTCTCTCTCTCTCTCTCTCTCTCTCTCTCTCATGAAACTGCTTTTGGTTTATGTTTTGCCTCATTTTATAAGGGTTGTGTTTTTTGGTTTTTGGTTTTTGTTTCTGTACATGTGTGTGTTAATGTCCATACGAATGTGGAAGCCAGAGGGTAACATTAGATATTTTTCTTCGGTCTCTGTCCACCGTTTCATTTTTTTTTTTAAACAGGATTTTTATTGGCCAAAACTTGCCTAGTATGTTAGGCAGGTTGGACATCGAGTCCCAGGGGTCCACGTGCCTCCATTTCCCCCACTTTGTGATTTCAAACATGCAATGCTCCTGCCTGGCTCCTCCACCCCCCCATACTGTGAGTGTGAGCACACGTGGGACACAGTGAGCATGTGGAGATCAGAGACCAGCTCGGGTGTCTGTCCTCACCTTCCACCTGTCTGAGACGGAGTCTTTTGCTGTGTGCTTCTGCAAATGTCAGAGGAGCCGACCCGAGAGCTCCTGGCGATCCTACCGACGCTGCCCTCCATTTCACCGCTGGAGGAGTGCTGGGATTGCGAGATCGATTCTACATCCGGCTTCCTGTGAGGCTTGAGGACCTGGACTCTGAGCATTCTCCCCAGCTCTCTTACTAAGTTCTGGAGCTCAAACCCAGGTCTTCACTTCATGTTTCGTTGACAGAACTTTACCAAATGAGCTATCTATCTCCCCAGCTCTGGTGTTGTTTGCTTCTTTATTCTTATTTTTAAATTTTATTTTGTGTGCATGGGGGTTTGCCTGCATGTATGTCTGTGTACCACTTATGTGTGCCTGGCGTCCTTGGAGGTCAGAACAGATGCTTGTAAGCTGCCATGTGAGTTCTGAGAGTTGGACCTGGATGAGCAGCCAGTGCTCTTACCGACTCAACCATCTTTATAGCCTCAGTTTCTTTTTTAAAAAAATTTAGTGTGTGGGCAGACGTGATGGCCCACACCTTAAATCTCAGCATTTGGAAAGCAGAAGAGGATCTCTGTGAGTTTCAGACCAACCTGATCTACATAGTGAATTCCAGGCCACCCGGGGCTATATACACAGACTCTGCCTCAAAAACAAGAAAGAAAGAAAGAAAAAGAGCATGTGTGGATATGTGCATGTGAGTGCACATTTTATTTTTAACTGTGTGTATGCGGGTGCATCAGTGTAACAGTATGTGCATGAATGCAGAGGTCAGAGATATCACATCCCCTGGAGCTGAAGGTGGTTGTGAATGTCCTGACTTGGAGGTTGGGAATAGAACGCTCGGGTCATCTGCAAGAGCACTACTGTCTCTCCCAGTGAGCAGTTTCTCTAGCCCTCAGTTCTTGTTATCTGACACAAGGTCTTGCCCAGGCTGGTCCCAAACTCACTGTGGACTCTGTGGAATCTTGAAATCCCCATCTTCTTGCTACTGTCTCCCGTGCTTGGGATTACAGGCCCAGCCACCATGTTCAGCTTCACAGTGTTTGAAGGAAGGAGTGCTGGGGTGGGCTGCGTTTGCTGCTGCTGCTCTTTAGAGAAAGGGTTGCTGTACCGCTTGTATAGGGCTGAGTGCCTTGAACTTGCTGGGAGGAGACCTGGAGCTTGCAGTGATGATCTTCCTGCTGCCCAGGGCCTGCATTAGAGGCCTGTGCCACACTGCTCCACCGGGAGTCTTGAGAGTTTGCTCCTCTGTCTCCTGATGTGGTTTTGGTTTTTTGTTTGGGGTTTGTTTTTATTTTTTGAGACGGAGTCTCACTGTGTAGCCCTGGCCAAACTAGAACTGGCTCCTTAGACTAGGTTGTCCTCCAACTCACAGAGATCCACCTGCCTCTGCCTCTGCCTCTGCCTCAGCAGCAGCAGCAGCATACCAGGCCTCTCCAGAGTTTTAAATTTTACACCACCAGGGAGGAGTCTGTAGACTCATCCCATTGATAGTTCAGGAGTGTTTCTCACGTATGTTGTATTTCTTAAGCTTCTTATGTTTCTTAGGCTTTTTGTGTGCAACGAGTGCAGGAGCCCCACACCAAGGCCTGCATTTATTTGCAAGGACACAGAGTGGGTATTTATTTCCACTGGTTAAGACCCAATTCCAAGCTTTGTGTTTATCTGTACTAGTGATCACCGTAGCCTTTCCTGAAGAGGGATGCCCCCAGGGCTATTGCCTGTAAGGATGCTAACTCTGGGTCTATTGGTTCCACTGGGCCCAACTGTGAGTCTACCATGTTGTGTCTGTGGCCCGGGAGAACGTGTATGGTGTGCGTGTCTGTAGTGAGCAAATGTGCACACGCAGCATGCTCTAGGCGATGTACACTCTTGAGTGAAGAGTGTGCAGAGGGAAGGGCGGGCGTGGGGGTAAGTCCCTTCCCCGGGAGCGAGTGGTCTAGGGCAGTACAGCCCGGCCACCGCCCCGCAGGCAAGGTGTCTACCCTCCGTCGTTCGTCTCCCTGTGTGGGAGCCACCGGGCCAAGGCCATCGGACGCCAGAGCTCAGTGTTTGGTGTCGGCTGCGCTGCGCTGGCTTCCTCTCGGCAGCAGCAGCGGCGCTGGGGGGGGACTGTTTCCGGGGG